TGCTTTCGAACTGCTAGGTTGGCAGAAGCTGGGACAAGTAACGGGAGCTCACTCCGTTGCACAGCGCTAGGGATTCGAACCGCTGAACCTCCGACCTTTCTGATCAACAAACTCAGTGCCTTAGCCCCTGAGCCACGGCGTCCCAATGAGTTAGTTACATGGTGGTTAAGCGAATCTATCTTCCCCGTTTGCTTGTCAGAAGGTCGCAAAAGGCGATCACATGATCCCCCAGGACACGGCAACTGTCATAAATATGAATCAATTGCCAATTGTCTGAATTTTGATCATGGGACCACGGGGATGCTGCAACAGTCGTAAGTATGAAAAATGGTCATAAGTCACTTCAGTGCTGTCGTAGTGTTGAACAGTCATTAAATGAACTGTAAGTCAAGGACTGCCGTATAATTGTATCGGCTTGTAGAATTGCTTATACAAAGCTAGAGGTCCATGTTTTTTTTGAGTTCTCCAGTGCTCTAAACCAATGGTTCTCAACCTTGGCCACTTTAAGATGTGTGGACTTCAATTCCCAGAATTCCCCAGGTAGTGCAAGTGGGCAAAGTAGAGAAATAATTGCTCTAAAGCTACCTGGGCAAAGCATGTGGACTAGAAGGAGATCAAGCCATTAAACCTTTTGTTAAGATTTGAATGTTTGTAGGTATAAAAATGGTTGCATTTTCATGCATACAATATATAGCTATAATTGAGCTATATATTTTTTTCTCTCTCTAACAACAGCTATGTTGCACATCAAATTTTGAAATGTAAAAGGAACATTCAGTCATGGAAACCTGTCTTTGCAATCTAAGAATTCATTTTTAGCAGATTTAGCCGCTGGCTGCAAATAAAACTGAACTTATGAGAGAGGTCAAAAAATTTAAGATGGTGGACTCCATTGTCATCTTGACTTTTTCAGCCCTACAGACAACCCTGAGGCTGTGGCCTCTTTCTTTTGTGGACACAACCACGGAGTCCCCTCTAAATTTAATGTCCCGTCCTAGGAATGGCCATTTGGACTGAGGAATGATGTAAATTTTACCCACCAACTCAGGGAAAAGGAATCCCATTTTGGGGGAATTGCTGTAGCTTCTTTTTTTTTTTTTTTTNGAACCTGGGCAAAGGCCCCCCTGGTCACAGCCGACAAGTGATGTTCCAACGTCAGCTGCGGATCCAGGAGGACTCCCAAATTGCGAACCCTTTCTGAGAGGCGTATAATTTCATCCCCCAGGCTGCCGCGATTTTGTCAGCACGCTATTGTCGAAAATCAATTAGCGATTTTGACAGCGCTCATTTGTCCATCGCGGTTTTGTCGGCACGCATATGTCTATCACGCATTTGTCGGTGAACCTCAAACCCCTGCTTCAAAAATACCATTGTACTTCCATATCCTAAGCACTGCACAGCTACTGAATCTTGAGCGAATGGAATGTGCTCAATTCGTTCTCAAGTAGTGTTGGCTTGGTTAGTTTTTGCCGGCTGAGCCTGATGCGCAAAACTAGACAACTTGTTCCGACCCAGCCTTCACAGGTAACGATAAGCTGTTTATTCGTGAGTGAAACACACCCCTTTTTTTAATAACAGGGCAGTATCCGTCTTTTATTCACAAGGCTAAAAAAAAAAATCGAACGTAATTAGTCCCAACAAACCTGGGTTTAGCCAAGGAATCTGAAGTGTACTAGAAATGAACGGTTGTCTGTGACAACTGGCCCCTCCCAAACCCCTCCTATTCATTTCCCAGCCAGGGAAGAGATTGGCTAGCATCCACATCTGCTTTTCCCTGAGAGCCGGCTTATTGTTTTCCTTCGCTCTCCTCTCCTTTCCTCTCTGCATATACGCGCACCTGGGATGGGGGCCAATCTGTTCCTCCTCCTCACTCAGTTCAAACCCCGAAGACAGCTGCCTCCCCACCTAGGGGAGGATGGAAGGCCCCTGGCTCTGCCTCTGTCCCCGATGCTGTTTCCTTATCGGAACCTTCCAAAGTCTCCGAAATTGGCCCAGGCCATCCCCCAAGCTCCTCTTGGTCAAACTCTGCCACTAGCTCTGCTGGCAGCCGACGGGCCACAATGCAACTTGGCCAGTGAATGTACTCTAGGAAAGCAGGCCAATTATGTAGTGAAATCAGTGAATTATGAGGACACAGGCCTTGAAACTTCATGTTGCAGTTAGTGGTGCTCTGTGTGTTCTCACTTGGGCTTTGTTTCTCGCAGGATCTCGGTTCAAGAAAATCGCCTATCCCGTGTGCCTTGGTTCACTAGGTGTATCTCTTTGCTACCCAGCCCAGTCGGTGATTGTTGCTAAGGTAAATTTCTCTTAAAGTTCATATTTAGGGGAGATAGATAGATAGATAATTAGATGGATGGATGGATGGATGGATGGATGGATGGATGGATGGATGGATGGATGGATG